TGGTCCCACAGACTTAAGTGAATCTAATCAATATAATTAGATGCTAGCACCTGCCAGATTAAAAAATTACTTGCCAGGCTAAATCAATCAATGTGACTTGCACTATTTTGACTTTCAAAATGCCATGAGTATAAACCCGATTTTTCACACCTGCAGTTTTTGAAATTACGTTTGACAGTTAATGTTTAGCATATTTGGGCCAAACTGCATCCAGAAACTGTACCATTTCTTTTCCGTGTCTGCAACACATGTTAGAGAAGTGACAATATGAGTTATCTCCCCTGGTAAGGTATGCAAGTCCACCAAAACCAAACCCGAAGTCAAGCACGGGAGTACGCATCAGAGTCCCAGCATGCACAGGGCAGCAGCAGCTCATGAAGGTCCCACCAGACCAGCACCTGCCCAACCAGGAGACTTGCTGCCCAATAAACTCTCTATTGACAGTTTTAGTTTGGTTTGTTGTTTAACGCAGCACTCAGCAATATTCCAGCTGTATGACAGCCGTCTGTAAAGCTGTCCAGCAGTCTGGACCAGACAATCTAGTGATTAATATCATGGGCATCGATCCACGCAATTGGGATCGATGACATGCATGAACCAAGTCAGCGAGCCTGACCACTCTCTATTGACAGTACTCGTCTCAACTGTGAGCATGCTTTGTCCGTACTGTCCCTTGGAGCTGAAAGGAATCATTCATACCAGTAAACCCACTACGTGTCATTATTTAGGATTGGCCCACAATGTCAACATAAATTTATTGCATGCATATGTAAAGAAGCTTGAATCTCCAAGAAGAATAAATCTCCTCATTAAGAGAGGCAGTCTTTAAAGGGTCATTGTGAGGGGTATAGTAGTGTCTGTACTTGGATCTTTTCTTCAGATGTAGGTACAAACTGAACATAAAGGAAACACGATATAATCATGGACGTATACGTTAAGAGAATTAAGGAGATAATAGCTTAAGGACACCTCAAACCAACGCAGGTCTCATTTCTGTAGGGTATTGACAATGGACAAGGATTAATGGCTGACTCCTCATGTATTGATGTTTATGGTACCTCACAGGCTATATTTAACACACATTCCTTCCCTGACAATAACACAACAAACTACAACTATTTAAATGCACACATACAGCTCATGAATATTCAGGGTTTTACCTTGACCTACAACACTAGGGATCCAGGGGACCCCCAAGATATAATTTCAAGGGCCTGTAAAGTAATGAAATGGTGAAGAATACTGTACTGTAATATTTGATCATTTCTTTAAATACAGGACTATATATATTTCTTATCAAGAGTTTGGTGCAATAAATATTATTGAGTGCCTCAATGCAAAAAGGTTTTTTCTGTGTCCATTCTAAACATTTGTGTATGCTGGACGCTCATTTCTGTGTTGTGTAAAACCCTGCATAGTTCCAACCTTGATCGCTCACCTGCTTACAAATTTAATTTTTTTCAGTTCATTTGAATTCACACTTACCAAATTCTGATAATACATTCAGGAGGAAAACACTTCACAAATAAACATGATCTCAAGTCACCTCCCTGATAATTGTATGGGGATTAACCAAGATATTCAACAACCATTCATACAGAACTTTCTTTCAATGACAAAGGTTCATTTTTAGAAAGTAAAAAATAGAGAGTGTATTGTGATTGGTTGGTCCTAATATTTCGATTAAAAAAACGCCATAACTGAGCCCCTACCCTCCCCCACCCACATGGCAGCCATGCTCAATGGCCCATGACCATGCATGGCAATGTGCCAAACACTGATGCGATTCAATAAAGTTTCAGCATACCCATATGCTTATATTACACTAATCTATTATCATGTGTTTGAGAAAAAACATGTCTGTCTGTATTCCACCCCCCCCCCCCCCCCCCCCCACCCCACCCCCGTGATATTGCAAGAATTTTGCTACAAGCAGTGTATAACTGTACCCACTTGCAAGCGTACTTATTCTGAGATATATTTCAAAGGTTTAAGGAACTATTGTGTCAGATTCATATACGGGGTATCAAAGGTTGGTAACTGACCTGACACATGGCGTCAGTCACATTTTTTAATTCACAGGGCAGCTGTCACAAAATGTCTGTCACATGGCACATGGTTCTGCCATATAGAATGTCAGACTATGTCGCTGTTGATCAATCACAAGGCCTTACAACACTAACTGTGTCAGATGGAGTCAGATTGCTCATATGTCAAGTCAGTCCATTATGAACAATCACGTTCAATGTTTTCATAACAATGTGTATATTTGTTGTTTAACGCCGAATTCAGCTATATGACATAGGCCTGTTCAAGTCTGGACCAAACATTATTCCTACCTTTTGTAAACACATCATCATATATTTCGACATTAACTCTATAGGCTTACTATGTATTCACCTGATGACAGGGCAAGAAGTAGCTCTCAAACGTCGTTACAAAGAATATAAGAAGTTGTTTTTCATAAAAAAGTGTCATGTAATCATGTTCCTCCAGCTTCTAAATGCCAATAAAGGCTTCCTGTTTACAACACAGCTGACAGAGGTCCCTGTGTGGGTTTATGTCTCCATGGGTGACCAGCGGTTCACCAGCTTGCCCTACCTGCACCAGGCTGACAGAGATCCCGTGTGGGCTTACCTAGGTATATGTCCCCATGGGCTACCAGCGGTTCGCCCACTTGCCCTAGTTGCACCAGGCTGATGGAGATCCTGTGTGGGCTAACCTAGGTGTATGTCCCCATGGGCTACCAGCGGTTCGCCCTCTTGCCCTTGTTGCACCAGACTGACAGAGATCCTGTGTGGGCTTACCTAGGTGTACGACACCATGGGCTACCAGCAGTTCACCCACTTGCCCTTGCTGCAACTGACCGACAGAGATCCCGTGTGGATTTAACAGGGTGTACGTCCCCATGGGCTACCAGTGGTTCACCCACTTGCCCTAGCTGCACCAGACTGACAGAGATCCCGTGTGGATCCACTTGCCCTAACCCTAGGTGTACGCCCCCCATGGGCTACCAGTGGTTCACCCACTTGCCCTAGCTGCAACTGACCGACAGAGATCCCGTGTGGGCTTACCTAGGTAAAAGGTCCCCATGGGCTACCAGCGGTTCACCCACTTACCCTAGCTGCACCAGACCGACAGAGGTCCCGTGTGGGTTTACCTTGGGTGTACGTCCCCATTGGCTACCAGCAGTTCACCCACTTACCCTCGTTGCACCAGACTGACAGAGTTTGGGTTTAACCAGGTGTAGGTCCCTATGGGTTATGGGAGCTACTGGAGCAGATCCACAGTGTACAGTCAGGTACATGCCCTATACAGCACAGCAGGTAAATACATAGTAATTAAAAATGTAGGGTATTGATATTCCTATCTCTGTCACAAGACATAATAGAAGAGTCCAAGATACTGGAAGGACAAAGTCAAGAACCTGACTTCATTATAGGTGAGCATGTCTGACCCAACATTAGTACCAGTCATTAACGCAGGTAGAGAGGGCAATAAATATGGCCGCAAGAAGCGTCCTACACCTATTTATGGTGAAATGGGTTTTCACCAGGGGTCCGGAAACCGTCATATGCGCCGGACATTTCCGACTGGGAATCTTAAATGTCTGGTATTGTCTGGACATTCTTAAATTTTGACCGGACATGATCAACAGCTAGGACTGAGCAGTTTCTGTCTGCAGTTGTAACACAATGAAGATTATCTACACTGACAAGCTTTGTTTGTTTTGATTGCTGTAAATACATCGTACCTACATGATAGTCCAATCAGTCAGTCACTGTAAAAGGCAATAAACTGAGTTGACACTGATTAATCGAGGATTAATTACTGAGAACATCTTGTCACAGCCTAGCCACAGCTTACAGATAAGTCACATCTTAGTCACAGCTAAGTCACAGCTAAGAGTTGGTCTTCCTTATGAACAGCCTACCAAAATTATCCATCTAGTTTGATTGGGCATAACTCGGTTGTACAAAACGCTAAGGTATTGGAGACGTATTCTGCCAGAAATCCAATGCCATGAATATTCTAAAAACTTGCTGATGTAGCATTAAAGCAATATTCCTTCACTCACAGGTAAAAGAGCCAGTATGACAGGTCAGATCAATTCCCATTAGGGAACTGGATAGCCCCACCAAGTGTGTATTCTATAGCACTACAAAGACTGTCTTTGGTGCTAGAAGTAGCTCCATAATATGCCCTCAAATGTGAAGTTGACAAATGGACAATTTAGTGTTCCAATTCACATCCCCACCAAGGTGCTTCAGTCGGCTGTAGGTGGCCACAGTTTGTTAATGGGTTACATTGTGGCAGACTATTTAGCCCGGCTATAAGTCATGGAATAATGCCAGGCAGGGTCTCGGACACAGCATAAGGTAAGGCCAAAGAGGGAAAGGCTTTATATCTGGGTGGGACAATATTGGCTCACCCACTACACTCATAATAGACCTGCCAACATTGTGTGCTGGCCGACTTGCTGTCAAACACAGTGTTCTTACATTTGTGTAAACTGGCTTTAAATCAGCACTAGATTACACTGATGTAAGGCAGGAGCTGTTAGGGCACTCTGCTAATTAACCAAGGCTAAATGCTGTGCACACTATAATTAAATTCAGTCAAATCACATCAATCTCAGATGAATCAGTGCATCATATCAAATGCAGTCTAATAGATAGCCTAATGAGAACAGATTGTTGCATATTGATAAAAATTGACTTCGTGTTTGTTTGTTTGGTGTTTAACATCACACTCAGCAAAATTCCAGTCATATGACAGTAGTGAGTGAGTGAGTGAGTGAGCGAGCGAGTGAGTCACATGACCTGTCAAGCCTGTGACTGGAAGACGTTTGGGAACAGCGTGTTAGCAAGTCACATGACCTGCCTTGCCTGTGAAAGGAAGACATTTTGGGGAACAGTTTGTAGGCAAGTCACATGACCTGCCTAGCCTGTGAATGGAAGACGTTTGGGAACAGCGTGTTAGCAAGTCACATGACCTACCTTGGCTGCTGCAGCTGCTGCTACTTGGTCCCGCACGGTGTATGTCTGGTCCAGCTCGCGTCCCAAGTCTACTACAGGTCGAAGGTCAGCGGTTGGTGGTGGGAGGTGACGATCAGGGTCGTCCAGACGGTGCTCCATTCTGCGAATCTGAAAGAAGGAAAGAGTGAGAAAGTTGTCCCGGGATACTAGTGCAGGCAAACCAATTCACTGTTTGCTGAACTCTGAAAATGATTAAAGCAGACAAAGGTCCCAGGTAATTGTGAACATCGAACCTGCAAAATTTCAGCTTGAAAAGTTCTCTTCAAGTAATCACTGTAAAAGCCAACATGTAAGGACATGAATGAACAGACACCAGACATAATTTGTAGATTTGGGTCATCTGTGGCTCTAGACTTCATATACATATCAGCAAAAATGGTATTGTAAAATTAGTTTTCAGACCATTAAACATGTCATCTTTGAAAAGACTTATTTGTATCAAAACAAGACCTCCATAATATGCGTATTGTATCGTTTTACAGAGTATCACAATGAATCAAAAGTTCATTGAATCGTTACCACTAGAATTGTAACAATATATCGAACTATCGATGATTCCATGTATTGCAATTGTTTCTCCTCTGATACATCTGTATCAATAGAAACATAAAAATGCCCATAACATTGTCGATAATATGCATAACAATCAATAGCTTCAATAATTGCAATTAGTCATAAATATATCACATAAATCAGGAAAATTCCAAATCCGCCTGTGTCAGTTAGCAAGACTTATGAAACTTCAGATTAAAGTTAATTCCCTTTTGGTTGAATAGCGACAGGGAGGAAAATGGCTGACTTTGACATTGTCAGCAATATTCATTTCTATTAAAGTGATTATTATATTTATCAAGCTGGTTTACTACTATTGCACTACTCTTCTCCATGGCCTTTCACATCTGAGAGTATTCATGACTCATTTTTATGTATAAGCAGCCATCAGAAATAAAAGTCATGAATTTATCAATTGAAAACTAGAAAAACTTCAACATTTCAGTTTTGTTTATTTCGGATTGACAAGCTTACATCAGTTAATACCTATCACCTATTCATCACAGTGAATTCAGAGCATCCTCAACACCTGATACTTTCAAATTGATAGTTATTAAATTTAATTATAATCATTTTCAGTAACTTCAGCTTTATTTTAATTCCCTGTTGGCTGGAGCCTCCTCCACGGACAGACACACAGGACTGACTGCCTAACCTGGGACCTCACAAAATTACAGTGCAAGAAAATAAACTTTGTACTTAAAAATAATTAAAAAGGAAATAGTCATTGAGACTGTTTTCTAGCATACAAACTTCATCATGTTCATGAATAATACGCAACCATTGTTTCAAATTTTGTTTCAATAATGGCGCACTGAAAATATAATTGCCAGCATTTTGTTGAAATTCCTGAGTCATATGAAACCCTGAATGTCCACTGTCAGTGGTTCTGAACATAGTAAGTGACAAGCAATATGTCTGAGGACCAGTTTCATTTTCCAGTGGACCGGATGAACAGAGATTCATTAACCTGAATCTTCTTCTAGACATATGCAGTTTTAAACTATAAGAACTAACTTTATGAGGTTTGTTAGATTTATCTGCAAGGTAAATTTATTCTGTAGTCTGTGACTTTAACCACTAGTCCGAAGACAAAGTCCATTAAAATTATTTTGGGACTAGTAAGCTCACCTAATTATAGTCCATATCAGTCTGTTCAAAAAATATTTGAGTATCATATCCTGTGGAGTTTATACCCCCATCACACCAAACTAGTTCTCAATACGTTCGTGAAAATGTTGTCGAACGGGCTCCAACTGTGTATGAACGCAGTGGACGTAGTAGCAACTATTGACAGTCTTTTTACGAACTTCATGGATGGGCTCGGACAGGGAGGGGGCCCCAGAACTTTGAGTCTGCTCAAAATTTTATCCCGTCCATCTTGTTCTGCAATTAGTCGGATTGACAACGTACTTAAAACGAGAAAGACGTGTTTTGAACAGAATTGCCGTATTTTGGACTGGCTAAGAACGAGATAAACGTATTGAGGACTGCTTATGAACGAACTAGCATCGTATTTTACGCCAAACTACGCTTTCTACCATTTTCACAGCCCGTTCTAGTATTTTGTTTAGAACGGGGTAGAACGGGATAGAACTACTTTGGTGTGATGGTAGCATTAGTGTTATAATGTGGTCTAATTATAGCTGAGTTTACTAGACACGTGCTTCACTGACATGTTAGAACTAATATGTCCTACAAATGATGCCAAGAGCCAAGTGTGGGCAAGTAGACTTCAAAGTTTGGGGCACAGACTGTAGTCTGCATCTCATAACAAGACTGTTCTTGATGACACAGACACACTGCATGCAGTTTTCTCAAAACAAACATCAGATCAAAGCAACTAAATGTTTAATGTCTTCTGCATTTGATTTTCAAAGAGCATACAGTAACTGTAGTCAATTCCCATTGCCTGCAGTTTCTCGATGGAGCAAACAGGGGTGGGGTGGGGAGTTGGTAGGGTGGGGAGTTGGTGGGGGGTGAAGAGTGGAAGTGATCGGGGTACAGAAGGTCATCAGATGACAGACGTTTGACAAGGTGCTGAGTGCACTCCATTCTGGGACTTGTCAAACGCTCACCTGGAAAACACGGGTGTGACAATTGTTTACGAGAGCCCCGTTTTTTCAATCTGAATATTTTCTGTGCTAGACAACCTGTGCTAACATGATTCGTTATAATAGATATCCAACATGCTGACTAAGCACTATTAATCTGAGAGCTATTTCTAGAAATACCTCAGTGTCAGCAATCTGACAAACACTATTCATGTATTGAACATTAATTAGATAAGCAAAGGTCTTATGCATTGTTTCACTCTCGTGCAATATGTGAGGTGCTCACTGAAAGTAATCTGACCACTGTTACATATTTCCAAGGGCCAGTTTGTAGATTATTATTATTTCATATGTATGTATGTATGTATGTATGTATGTATGTATGTATGTATGTATGTATGTATGTATGGTGTGTGTGTGTGTGTGTGTGTGTGTGTGTGTGTGTGTGTGTGTGTGTTTAAAACGTTACAAACTGGCACTAGTCCTATAGTCCTTGCCAAACTGCCCAAATTTTAGTATTTGTTTGTTGTTTAACGCCGCACTCAGCAATATTCCAGCTATATGACGGTGGTCTGTAAATAATCAAGTCTGGAACAGACAATCCAGTGATTGATATCATGAGCATCGATCCACGCAATTTGGATCAATGACATGCATCAACCAAGTCAGTGAGCCTGACCACCCAATCCCGTTAGTCGCTTCTTGCAAGCAAAGTCGCCTTTTACGGCAAGCATCGGTTGCGGAAGACCTATTCTACCCCGGATCTTCATGGGCCCCAAATTTGAGTAAAGGAACAATAAGGACAACTAGAAATTTGACATTTTTAAGGGTTTTGTTATATGTTATCATTCTCACTCTAACACTCTCTCCAGACATGTCACCAATCTAGCATCTTTGGGACCAACTTGAATGCCAGATTCGATTCAGACAGCAGACACCACACAACAGACAGCAACAGACACAAGCTTTGACAGGGGAATAGCAACACACTCAAATGACATCATCAGAATACTCACTATATCGATGCGTAGGCATGTGTTAGCTTCTATTTATACTGAAGGTGGTCAGACATGATATTAGAGATAATTTTTCATGTTGTGAATTGACTTTGTATTGACTTCAGTGTTGGACCTTTTGTAACGCAAATTTGATTTTGGATCCCACATGTGACTTAGCAGTCTTGACATATCAGTTACTTACAGTAGCCTTGTTGCTACTGTTGAATAACCTTTATTATTGATGTATTAAACAATTGCAAAGAGAACTTCCCTTACATTATATTTTGGTTTCAAACAACTAATATTTTCACACATGTCAAGTTTCTTTTGGCCGTGAGGAAAGAATAAACTTGTACAATACTAGTTTCAATTACAATTTTTTCCAATCATTGTATTAATATTTCTTTGGGTATTTTGAAACTGAATCGTCAGTAGATCGTGGGAGAAAATGTGTGCACAGCTGATTGCTATTTCATGTTAATTGTTTGAGACAATTACCTCCAAAAACCCTATTCTCTGAAAAAAAACCCCAGTGTGACAGGAAATACAATTGAAATTGTATATCATCATGTCTGGCAATGATTGATGGGAAAATTCACATTTTTATTAACCAAGTGTGTTATCTTCTGTTTGTTCACGTAAAGGGGTGAAACATAGCTCGATCCCATTAGTCGCCTCTTACAACAAGCATATCTCCTTTTACGGGTTGCTGTAGACCCATTCAACCCTGGATCTTCCTGGGTACCAACACTGACGTGGGAATGATGCATCATCAGGAACCCTGACTCTAGAACAGTCTTCTTCGTTATAGCTTGCACATATACGCAACCGCAAAAGAAACACAAGTCAAGTTTTTTGTTTGTGAAAAGCACAATATAGTAATTTGTACAAAGAAATGTATACACACGTAAAGAGACGCATTGAAGAAAAACTGCTCACAATTTACATCATTCATTTTGTGCATGTCGCAGGAACTCAGTCGTTTCGTTTCGTTTCGTTTCGTTTCTACTGCAGTGGAGAGGCAGTTTGGATGTCATGTGTCTACCATCACCTGATTGGTCGCAAGGCATCAACAGACAGGCAGTGTCCAACACCGGCCTTGTTCTGGATGGCCGAGGGCCACAATTCCAGTGCAAGGCTGTTACATTCGGGTGACAAGCAGCACAGAGAGCTGCAACCATTCAAGGTCCACGTCATCCTGTCTCAGCCGACACAGTTCGTCATCTAAGAGCAGTAGAAATCAGATGTCGTCCTTCCGTTGGGCCCATACTGACTCAACGTCACTGCCAATGTCTGCAGTGGTCCCCATGTTGGCGACATCAACAGTTGCAACAAGTTGTCTCCTCAAGATTCAATCTATCATACACTGATGGCCGCATCAGAGTGTGGAGACATCGTAATGAGTGTTACGCTAACAGATTCCTCAAGCCTTCTTCCAAAGACTTGTCGACTCAATGAGAGGCTGATGTGCGGTCTGTATCACAGGTAACGGAGGCCACACAGG